TTTCAATTTTTAGTGTCACATCTATGGTTTTTGTTTTATTTCTGATGACACGGTTTTTCAGTCTGTCTGATCTCTTGACATTTAGCATACTGTTCTTTATTGCGTATTGGCAAGTTGCGAGTTTGCTTGTCCGTTCCTGAGTCAAAGTCCATGATTGACAGCCATACATAAGGACGGGTAGTACGCAGGTATTAAACAATTCTCCAGCCGTTTGTGATTCTTCTCTGTACTTCTTCACGCATGGGTTATTTTTGAGTTATGAGCTGTTCCGGGTAGATATATTCTTCTGTGTAGTTAATTTCCATATTTCCTGAACGTATCGTGTCTTTGTTTCCATTTGTCATCACTCTACTCTTTTCTGGGTTAAGTTTTAGGCCTACTTTCTCACTTCCTATCGCAAGCTCTTCTATCATTCTATTGAGGTCTTTAGACGTTTTAGTTTGTCATATTTTAAATATGCTATTTTGCTTTTTTCTCTCTTCGGTTAGCTCAGCTTGCAGCCTTTTGCTTTTTTCTGACACTTCCTTAGAGTAGTCTTTACTGATATTAATTTTCTTCAAGTTAGTTTAATTTTTAAAATTTCGTTCTTTTCCCAATTACTTATTAACGAGCATAGTACCCGGCCTCGGCTTGGATGTGGATTTTATTGTCCTCGTAATCCTCTATATTAATATTTAGATCATGTTTCAGATTTTCCTTGAATTATTGTAGTAATTCGGAAGTTGAAGGTTATTTTTCTTCTAAGCCAAAACTATAATATCGTTGTTCTTCTCCCCTCCTTTTAGAAATTATATTTCTTTTTCTACTTTAATCTTTAGGTTTTTGTTTTCTTCCACCAAAGGAAATAATTTCTCTTCCATTTATCCATAATACTTTGTGTGATAGAATCCTTCAATTCAGCAGTTTGGTTTTGCATCTCAATTTTGTCAAATAATATTTGAAATTGGCCTTCCATTGTATTTTAAATTATTATTAATTAATTATTTTAAAGATATGATTGCGTATATTGGAACGTTATAGTAGAAAAAGGTAGAAGTTATTTTTGTAGGTGGCAACACTGATTGTAATGCTGCATTGAACGTTGATAGACTGTCTAGTACTTAAAATTCTAATATTAGCACTTTTTTCATTTGTGTTTACTTCATATAAAGTCTGTTTTCACAATATACTAAATTAACAAAATTAATTTATTTGTGTAGACGTATTTGGTGGTAATGCTTTACCTAGGACATTACCTTGTACAAAACGTACGCCTTCTATGTTATGAAGTAATTGAAAACAAAACTGACGGTTATCCTTACTTATCCAAATCCATATACTAATATTATAAATGCGAAAGTGTGCCTGTCTGTCTGTCTGTCTTTTACCTCTTCACGCTTAAACCGCTAAACCGATTTATATGAAATTTGGTATAGATTGGACATATATTATGTATATAGAACACAAAGAATGCCAACGCTCTTGTGTCTTCGCAAGTGCAACGCAAGTGTTCATGGGCGGCGATAGTCAGCCTTTGCTCGTTTGCCCCTATTACTTATTTTCTTATTCATACTTACCTATATCAATTCCTTAAACCATCATCTGCTGGTGACTCAGGAGTCGTCTAATTGATTTGTAGTTTAATCGGTAATTCTTCGTAACAAAATATTTTTTTGCATATTCGCTAACAAAACTAACAAAATTAAGAGCGTCGGATTATACATACTCGTAGATATTGACTCATGTATTACACTTGACTTTAGTTGACATTATAATTATAAGTAATTGTATGTTAGTGTTTAGCCCAAATTTTAGTTGGGATTTCTTTATTTCACCTTTTTTTCTTATTTTACGTGTTTAAACTTTCCTGGGGCTTTCACCCCACCAGGGTTGGCAGTGGGCCAGTGTAGATTTCATAACTGAAAAATGTCTGCTTCAATACTCTTTACCTCAGTCATGATGTGTTCCGTATTCGCTACTTATACATCATTATTGGCTATCCATATTATCTATATTATTTAATCCATGTTGACATAACTATAATTGTAATTCAATTTTTAATGCATGTGTGTACCTATATTGTAACTATTGTTTGCCTCATGGACGAGACATAGCTGAACTATCTCAAACTTTGTAGGTATATTTTTTATCTTTCTCAAACGACTTGTACCTATCTCATACAAAAAGATGTATTACTGGTATTGGGAATGAGCATGGTCCCAATTCAATATAAATTCGTGTAATACGATTAAGATGTATCTATAGTATGTTAAAATGGACACAGATAAGTTTATATTTTTTTTTAATATTTTTAAAGTTATTATTAACTAGTGCAATTTCGTCTGCATCTCTCGAAATTTGCACCGTTCTTGCAACATTTTTCGAACCAGTAGTTCCTGAGATTAGTGAGTTCAACCAAAGAGATTATTTAAGTAGGTATGTGTAATGTGTCTAGTTACATTTAGTATTAACTTCAACTTTAATTGATTTTGATAGCAAGAATCTCAGTCAAATAGATCTAGATCTAGATCTGAATACTAATGTATTAAATGTTCTAAGTTTTAATATTGTACATATCGCCACAAATATTAACTCCATATGAAGTAGGTACCTATTCTTTATCTCATTTTTCATTAGAGCTTTAAAGATCGGTTTAACCTATTAATAGTACTTGCCTAAATTTATATAAAATGAAAAATCTTGTATTAAGGATATTTTAGAATGCTTATCCGTGAATGGGGTACGATCCTATGGGAGGAGCGTTATCCGCTAATAACAACACCAATATTTAAATTTCTATTTATTGATTTCAATTTGAACTTGAACTCACAATGAAATGCAGCACAGTAAACACAAAAATTACCAAACCATTTATTAATATGTAGAATGCTTATTAAAATACGAGTAACAGTGATTGAAAAGGTACGGAAACCAGGTTTAAAGTAGGTACTACTAACATCGAATATTGTTGACAACGACAATAAATTTAGATCGATTGAAAGTAGACACTATACCGACGAGAGAGAGCTGATTTTGAGCAAAAAGTTTTGATAAAAAAATAAGTGGTCGGCTCATTATCAAGATATCATTATTAAAAATACACAGCGGTTACTTGATGCGGGATTAAACTTACGATATACACAGTGAATAACTTACGTAAATGTCGTACGACAAGCCACGGGCGGGCGCCTCACACCTCTTTCGCTACAAAACTTTATGGTGAAGAGCGCCATCTATGTTTCAGGATGCGTTATTATTGTGTATTTTAACGCCATCTATGTTGGCCAAGTTACATTGTCGCAGCGAAACAGGAGTAACAGAGCGCCGTGGCGCATCTGATATGACTTCATTTGTAGTAACGCCACTACGCCCGTAAACAAAAATAGAAATAGTGTATATAAATTAGCTTATGTAACAAATAAGCTTAAATGTATATAATACTGAGGCAGAATTACATCTTAACTACGACGTAACATTAAGTGTGGTACGTGGGATTAGACACGAGCGCAAGCCCTTACTTTATACGGACGAATGCGATATATAATTATATTTTGCTTTATATCTATGTATCTGACGCTAAAACATCTATATAATGTATTACTTTTTGTACATCTACTTATATATTAACCGTACATACACTCACTAAGCTTATTTGCCTCGCGACCGCGTACCCAAGGTGCGACACAACCGTTTGCGAAAACTGCTCGATAAAGGTGCTTGTTGTTTTGACTAGATTAAAAAAAATTGCAATACGATTGTTTCCTTCACAATAGCCGTAATGTCTTTATCGAAATTCATTCACGCACGTTGAGTACACGGCGGTCTTTCACGTCGGGAACTTGAGTATTGTCTCGCGGGTGAACGGGAAAGGGAAATAGCGTCCTTGTTAGGAGGGAGACAGATTGGACAATAACTTATGATTACAAAATTAAAGTAGAGGAATGTTTCTGAGTAATCATAGAGTTATCAGTGAAGCCGTTCACCCACGCCGGCTTTGCCGCCCGTCCCATCGCTAAGTACACATTAATTATTAAAATATATTTTCGCATTTATTACATAAAATTCACGTTATGTTCTACCTACGTTAGAAAAGTAAATGAAAGCAGGCATTAAGTGTAAGTTATTTAGGTTCAAATTTGTACGCGGAGCTATATACACAGCGTACCATGGACGTTTGTTCCACTCGCCACAGTGGTTGCTTTCAACGAACTAGTAAAGAGAAACTATAGCTAAACAATGGACAGACTAAAACCGAGATCATCCGTAACAATAATTCAATGCACCAAATGAATTAAAGTTGGACGCAACCACTGCAAGAGCGGCATCAAAAACTTAATTTAAGAAACTTGACTACAGTGACATTTATGAATTCTAGGATACTAGACATAAAACTTAGACCTAAGCCCTTAAAACAATAATAAATATTTTGGTGCAAAATAATTAACAAACAAATTAAAAAGATTATCACTTCTAACCTTAACGTATGACTGATCGCGTTACCGCAAACGAATTTTCCCACTAATCACACAAGCTTAATAAACGAATGTTTGTCCTCCCCCGCCGGGAGTGCGGCCGTCACCTCACAAATATATAAGTTTCACACACATCCATTCCATAAAGAATTACGCTGGGGACAATAGATAAGGTTTGGGGTAGAAAAACGCCCATTCTCTAAAGGGTATCTAGCACACATCACAAGAATTTAGAATGTCTTCTATTTCCTTAGGAGTACGTTAACATTTGTATGAGTATATTCTTTTGAAAAAAGTTATTTATGTATTACCAGTCTTCAGAATGAGATTCTGTATGTCCACTATTTTAGTACTCAAAAGGAAATCAGAAGACGTATTGGCCGAAAGGACATCACAACAACCTATAACACTCGTCCAACATGACTTGACGTAGTCAAGTACTACTTGGCTGGACTCGGCGCACTGAGAGCACTCCTGGCGGGGTCGGGAGGGGGGAGGGAAGGAGAGGAGTGGGGAGAAAACGGAGGGACTTTGGGTGAATGAGAGGATTTACTCTTTGACCTCGAAGTACTTGTAGGTAGGATTCTCGTAGCCGTTGATCTGCATGTTGGCCACGTGTCGCTCCTCGGGAGTCGGCGCCACAGCACCTGTCTGTTCAACCTACGATGAAAATATGTACGTAAAATACAAAATAAAATAAAATATCTTTTATCATCATTCAAATCTTTGATTACTTTCAATTGTCATTTTTTACAGACTGAGATGAAGCCTCAAGGTACTCAGTAAGGATTTTTTTATATTTGTCCAATGTTATGTTACAATTAAGATAAAAGACACATTATTTGTTAATTTAAAGAAAAAATGAACAAAATTAAATGATGTCACAGTCAAGCAGCCTTGTCAATTAAAAAGTTGTTAATAATATAGTAAGATTTTTCAAATAAATTATGTTTGATGAATTTTAAAATTTGTTACAGACGACTTGCACATTATTAGGTACCATTATACATGCGTTCATATAATACTTATTTTAAGGATTTTATGTTTAGACATAGTACTCGTAGTAGTAGCAGCATGCAATTACATTAATGGTAACAGTTAAACAATGTTTCTATAACCATGATTATTAATGTTCTCACAGGGATCGAGATTTTTTTGCAATTCAATAAATCATTGATAATTTTAGAGAAGAAAAGCATTATTTAAGATATACCATATATCATATGGCCTAAATTTAAATTAGAATGGTGCTTGTGATACCTGCACAAAGCCCTGCGCAGGCGGTGCGCGGTCGCGGCGGCGCGCCACGGCAAGCGCCACACAGGCGGCGGCCGCGAGCGCCGCCCCGCCCACGCACAGCGCCGGGTACAGCGCGCCCGCGCCGCCCGACCCGCCCGGGGCCGTGCCGCGCACTGTGTAGCCCTGCACCACACACAAACATCTACTTCAGTACGAGTAACCAGAACAGAATCTTATGCTACATATAAATATATTTGAATACAATATTACATATAAATATATTTGAAGATCATTTAATCATTCAGTTCGGTTTACAAAAAACTTAATAGAGATATTATATTAAGTCTGTTTTCCACTTACTGGCTGCGAGTGCTGCAGCTCATGCTTGAGAGCGTGAGCAGGTGGTGGGGGAGCGCGCTCTTCAGCGTGCTCTAGAGCTGCGCGCAGACCTTCGCCCTCCGTCTAAAAGAAATATTTTATTACATTTTTCGAATATGGAATACTGAATTCATTCATTCTTATTATGATCTCAGTACTTCGATTATTATGATCAGTTCTGTACCTCGCTAGTGGATCGGCGGCTGGAAGTCTCGCTAACCTCGACAGTTTCAGCAGTCTCGCTTTCCGGCATATCGGTTACTGTGCTCGTGATGATTTCCTGTAAGAGACGAACTTTACTGTAAACGTACGTGTTTTTTTTCACATTTTAAAATATAATATGAGAATTATGAGCCAAGTGACGAGATTCCCAAAGCCCCAGCCCCAAGGAAGGGGACACACACACTCAAAAGGCGCCAATGCTCTCGTGTCTCTTGAGACACAGGTGATGTACACTTGTGGGCAACAGCAGTTTACCATAAGATGACCTGACTGCTCGGTTGGTCTTTACCCCAATAAACAAATAAACGCTAAGTATTTTGTGTTAATGTAATCCTTTTTAATCCACATTATGCTAATTATTTGACACTCACGGTGCTCGTAGTGTCCTGTGATACGGCAGAGCGAGTGGTGATATCACGTGGTGTATTTGAGGCAAGCGCAGGTGGCAGAGAGGCTGGAGCCGATGAAGGTGATGCAGATGCTGATACTACGGTCAAAGGACTGCGAGTGCTGCTTGACAATGCATTGTCTTCAATTTCACTGGCCTCACTGGCTTCGTCATCCGATTCCAGACTATCTTTTACTCCGTTTGAAGTCTGGAAAAGAGACATGATTACATTACTGTTTACTGTAATATAATAATATCTGGTGCGATATGTGTTAGTAGTATAGTAGGCCAAAACCTCCTTTCTAAGGAGAGGCCTATGTCCAACAGTGGACTATTAAAGGCTGTTGATGATGATGATGATGTATTAGTAAGGTTTAAGATACCTTGTATATGTATAGGGTCCTGATAGATAAAAATTTTTGGAGGAATTAGAAATGCGATTCCCTCCTTTATCAAAACTAAAAAGAAAGCAGCAACAATGGGACTTATTATACTTATGGCAAATGTATACTTGTAAAAAGGCAAATATTAAAGTATTCAGAGCAATCACACAGGATCATACCTTGGCCCGTTCGTTCTGGATGTCCTGCCGTTGCCTGGTGCGCTGATCACGCTTCACGTTCAACTGATCCCGGGCAGCCTGTTCACGTTGTACTTCAGCTTCGATGCGGTCCAGTAATAGTTCCTCAGCCTCAGGAGTCATGGACATCAGGGATACGGCCATGTCGTCTTTAGATTGCATGGACTGGAAAAATCAGATCGCATTTTATTTAAGTAACTTTTTAACATTTTAATATTTTTTTAAATAATCATTGAAATACTTTTACTTCTCACAAGACAGTAAATGACAAACTGCCAAGAAAAAGAAAACCAAGCAGTACTTAAATACTGAAGCATACTGAAGTTTTTTCTAAATCAATTACTATATTTTAATGTAAAGTTCTGATTTTGACTGAAAAAATCTAATTGGTCTGACGAACTATTAGATTTTTTCTGTTATAACTGTAAGTTTTTCTTTGCACCATGAAGTTTACCTGAACATAATCTTCAATAGCGGTACCAATGCTAGCGTAGAGATGAGGGCGGCGTCGGAGAGATGTAAGGGCTCGCTGGAGTGCACGGTCGGCATCCTACAAGAGTTTTAATATAATATTACTTGATATCCTTAAACTTACACCGCCTTATGTGATAGAATGAAATTTCTGGCTAAGTCCCTTTCATTATTCTTGAAGTTAGCAATGGGAATCTCACCTGTAATCTGTCAGCAGCGCTAGCTCGTTCAGCAGCGGCGGCCTCACGTCCGGCGGCGGCAGCGCGGCGCCAGGCAGCGAGAGCACCGCTTCGTTCAGCGGCCAGAGCGCGGACAAGACGCTGAAGGCATTTCTGGACGCGGTGAGCCTGGTAATTCAAATATTACATGCTGAAGATAAATCTAATAACTATTTATAAGCTCTATTGGAATTTGCACTTTGTAGTTTAAAGCATATTTCATCGCTGATAATACAATGTTTGAATGTATTCTTATATTAAATGTTTCATTCTAAAATTAGTGTCAATTAAAAAAAGCCTGTTACATTTGGTGGTGTATCCCGGAGTGAACGAGTGTAGCAGGCGAGCGCGGTACGGCGGCGTTGTGCGAGATGTGCCAGAACACGTTGCTGATGCAGGGCGGCCAAACGACGACGTTCCGCAACACCTTCCTCTTCCAAAGACTAATAGAGATATAAATGTGAGAAGATTATTTAAATTAAGAACAGCATACAATTTGTTATAGATTTATATTAGAAGATACATTTTAAATTGAAGCAGATGCCGGAGTAAAATATGTGAACATATCATATTCATTAAAATAAAATGTGCCAGAAAAAGACTTAAATGACACGTCGTGTATTTGATAGGTTGTAGCAGAAAAAACCAGCTATGATGTAATTACTGACAAAAAATAAAATAAAAACAACAGCAATATAAGTTATTAGATGTGACTTACTTGAATATTTGCCTGGAACTTAGCAGTCATACGTTGACGGAAGGTTTGTGCGGCGGCAGGATCGGTGTTCATCATTTGTTGGTACCGGTCTTCGAGCTCAGACCACTCCTTCATAACCTTGGTGATCTGAGATAATATGAAATAACTATAAGTTATCCTCTTCAAGTATGGAAAATACAAAATGGCTGGTGAAAAGGTGTTTATTTAATTACCTTTTCACGGTGAGTTTCTTCAAGCCTCTGCTGAGCATCCTTGTAGCTCTGATGCTCTGTGCGAGGGTCGAAATGTGAGAAGTAAGGGTCCGAAGTCGCTGTAGAGGCCTGTAGTCAAACAGGATACTTTTAGAAATTATCTTTTAAATTAAAACAGTATTGGTTAACAATTCTAACAATTCTAAAATCAAATCTGATTTACAATTATAATCAGTTTCAGGAGCAGCAATATCCGATAGGTAATAGTTTTCCACAGACAGAGAAAAAAGCTGAGATCATTTATCACAAAAAACTTCATAATCTCACGAGTTCGTTAAAATACATCAATCAATTTTTAAGCTATTGCATAGCTTCTATCGAGGGCCTTGAGCGCGGGGACCGAATCCAGAAATTCCGTAACGAAAAAAAACCTCACGCTAAAAACAAAACAAAAAACAGTACCAAAATCAAATGCTGAACGTCAAAGGAAATTTCGTCAACATAATGTAGAAAAATCTTACATGGATATGTAATTTGATTTAATAATAATATTTTTTATTTATTTATTTAAAAACAAATTGTAATATATGCTTCAATATTTTTATTGATAAAAGAAAAAAAATTGTTTTCTTATCGGTCACCACGCTCAAAAAGTGTAACTTGAATTAATATCAAAGAAAAAGAAATACTGCATAAATAAAATAAATTAATAATTATAATTGCATAAGTTGATACAAAATGCTATGCAATAGCTTCACCGCTGCAGTCCCCGAGTCTTTTTTTTTTCTTCTGTGACTTCATTATTTTAGTACAGAGCTTTACTGATAACTAGCTGGTGCTTGGAATTTGCACATCACTGCCTTAGTAGGTTCGGTTCCCGGACCGGGCAAAATTTTAAAGGGTTTTTCTGAGAGCCTGAGTTACTCCTTATATACAGCTACCTGGTAGTGAAATATTATCAAAATCTGTCTATCCGTTTAGGAGATAGCCGGGTACCGAACACTGTTTGTTCCTGGTAATCTTCTAAACGGCTAAAGACGGACAGACAGACAAAAAAACTGATTTTTAGGCATTACAAAAAGTAAATTTTATATATTTGTAATATGTTGAAATATGTACTAACTTTTTTAAATATAGGAGCAAGAAATGAATGATTAATAATTAAAGATTTATTAGTATGCATTTACACACATACATATTTCTGAAGTTTTTAGTATTAGCCGTTTCTAATATTACCGTAGTAGTTGTGGTAGTAGTAGTGCTACTGGTGGTGGTGGAAGGTGGTGAAGAAGTCTCAGGCCGGGGCCAAGCGCTGTCATCACCATCGGTGTAGTCATCGTCTTCAGCGTCGTCATCACGAGACAGGTCTGCATCTTCATCTTCGTCCATGTCTGGAAATTAAAAATTTGATTATTTATTCATGCATTCGTCGTTTCAATTTCACTCTCTTATTTTGAATCTGTTGTTCCAGTTTAGGTAAACTTTTGTTAGTTCAATTTAATTGAAATATAAATTGAATATTAACCATCATCAGTGTCGTCATTGTCATCATCATCGCTAAGGTTAAGAGTATCGTCATCTTCATCATCGTCCAGAGCATCATCATCATCCAGCAAGTCATCATCTCGCTCGTCCATAGCTGCTGAAGCTGCCAGCATCTCTTCACCTCCAGGGCTCACGGGTACTCCAACATCCATCGGCTTATGCATTTTTACGTTTTCTAAAAAAAAAAAGATTGCTACTTAGACGGAAGTTTTTTCATTTTAATTTTTCTTTATTCATTTATAGATCGATATGCTAAGAAATAGGTTTAATATTTTAAGAAATAAGAAGGTTATAATGTACAAGAGGAATATACAACAAATTATGCTAACTAACCTTTAAAGTGCTTTGGGCAGCAGACGAACTCAACACCAGAGAACAGGCTGATTCCACATGGCAGTAACATGGCAAAGGTCCTGAGCTTGAGTCCTCGTTGTGCGCAAGCGCGTCCGGCAGTGTTGTTCCACCTCGCGAACTGCCAGCAGCGCGACTGGTTGTGGATGTGGTCGAAAAGGCAGCTTTCTGGTACTAGCAGCGCATCCGATTGGAATGGACCTTCTGCCGCCAAACACTCTTTGTAGTTATCATTGTATTTGAGGTAAGAGTATTTCTATAAGATGTGGCAATAACCAAAATAAACATAATGATGACGTAATTATAATAAGTACGATTGTCTTTTCATGTCTTTATTTTAAGGAAATTCAAAAGACTAAAAAAGTAGAGGAAAAAGATAAGACTAACTCTTAGATTTTTACCAGATTCGTAAATAAATAAGTTAGTTAGTTAGTTAGTCTGTAATAAATACGTACCAAGACAACGGAACGGTTTCACCCATCGGGTAACCTTGCACTTCGCACCATTGCTAGTGCCCAGCTTGCACCAGTTGCTAACCTTCACGTAGTGGGAGGCTTCAACGATGTTCGTGATGTCGTGGCTTGGGTATACCTGGAGATCGATTAAGAAAAATATTTTAATACAAATCTTATATGAAACTCTTTTATGATTTCTCTCACTGTTGTCAAATACTAATAAATTAATTTATGTGTACATCTATCTATGATAAAACTAAAGAGTTTGTTTGTTTAGTTGAACGCGTAAATCTCAAGAACTACTAGTTCGAATTGAAAGTTTCTCTTAGTATTAGGTAGCCCATTTATTGACAAAGGCTATACCAATAGGAGCCGAGCATCAATGAAAAGTGTTGAGAAAACAGGGTAAATTTATTGCTTACAAGAGGCGCAGACAAAGATGCGCGGGTCAGAGGATTTAAGATATTTCTGTTAATATTATTGTGTCCTTTTTCTTCAGTTTACTTTTAATTATATTAGATGTTCTATTGGTAATATTAGTATTGATATCAGTATCAGCAAATAAACATCTTAATTACCAAGAACATTGAAACATAATATTAACACATGTATAATTTAATTTAATAGGCCCTTGTTTCCAAGACTATTCAAAATGATCCTTTGAATTTCAAGGATGATATATGAGACGAATATTGTTCTCGACCCTTGAGATAGGCTTCTTGATTCACTTAACTGTCTTCATAGTTGTACATATTATAATAGGCAGCTAATGAAAACCCTTGACAACGTTAGTGAGGAGCAACAATTGGGTTAGTTTAATCAAAGCTCTGGAGAGCAAAAACGGTTCGAACACAACAATTGTTCTTGTAAACATCGAGAGACATTCCTTACAGAATCAAGACATCCCACAAAATGGAAGGAATTTCTTAATTTCAAAGGGTTGACCCGGAGCCTAAATAGTCTTTATTTTTACATTTAATTTGTGGGTATCTCGTAAAGAACAGAGCTGTCCGAAAATGAAATTTTAGTATTAGACGCTTAATGCTCAACTATCTGAATGATTCAAATAAAGTAAGTATTCTCTGTGGAATTTTAAAATGAAAAAACATTTCCAGACAACAGTTTAAACTTTAAACTTTAACCAGACTATATCGATTCATGTCTTTTTCTTTTATATCGATTAATGAAAATATTGCGTATCAGACACGTGGCGAAATATTTATTTATTCAACTACTATGGTAGATTTACAGGCAATTTAAATAGATCATTAGTAGACAAGAAAACAGCTTAGTAGTTTATACGTAAAAGTTCTAAGTTTAATATTAACATAAAAAGGTTACGAAACACTATTTATTTTAACAGGATCCATAGCTTTTATTTTTTAAGCGCAAAAGAAAGGCAACTAAAACTGTCTTTGCTACGCTATGGGAAGATATCTGTGAGTCTATTTAGAAACAGTTTTTTTTTATTTAAGAGATATTGAGAATACGGGGTATAGTAGGCCAAAAGCTTATTTCTAAGGAGAGGCCTATGTCCAGCAGTGGACTATTATAGGCTGTTGGTGGTAAGAGAAACTTAGCGGACTAAGTAACTCACCTTCTTGCAGTAGTCGAGAATCTCCATCTTGTCCTTTAAGCAGTTGTGAGGCTTGGTGGTAAGGTCGGGTGTCCATCGGCCTGCGGCGGACATGTACTGAGGGTGGTAAGTCCCCCCTGCCTCGCATAGAACGGCAACTTGGGGCTCCGCGCCGCTGCTTGCCTGCAACAAACAATTTAATTATTTTACTTATATTTATAGGTGAAATTAGTATATACACGTATTTGTTTACATATACCTACATATACTAAAACTAAAACCATGTTTAGTGAACGTAACAATAGATCTTTTATTGTACAGTAATAGGCCAATACATATTGCACTATTTAAAATGCACAATATAATGGTCCGTCAAAAGTTTTCTTGTTAACCCAAAATTCTTGTAGAAAGAAAAACGAATTCTTGTTATTCGTACTAACCTACAATATTTATTTAATGATATAGGCTACGCTATCATTTAAACAATAGACTGAAACACATAACTCTGCCCGATAGATGGAACTAGTTACCTTAAGCCCTGTTCAGTGGTTTTTCAATCGTTTTTATCACTTTGCCTACTCATATTGGACATTTTACAAACTGTCTTCACTTACTTCTTTACTCTACGCCCTGTAATTTATCTTCATAAATATTTAAAAAAGAAACGTGGTAAAATTTAGTAACACAAATTCTGTGTTACTAAATTTTACTACGTTTTTATACTGCTTTATTTCACAGCCTATAGCACACAGCCTATAGCCTATAGCCTCAGTAGCGTTCGCGCAATTGTTAAATAAGCACGCCTGCACCTGGCAATCTGATTGATCAGCGGTTAGCAACCTTTTGGTGTATTCTGTCGTGAACATATTTTTCGTTCATTATGAAGTGTGCGGCTTGTAACGCAGAGTTTAATGACGGAGTTCAGTGTGGGATATGTAAGAAACATTTTGACTTTGGCTGTGTTAATATGACCGAAGCTGGATGGAGAAAACTGGGAACTGAAAGAAGAGCTTTGTGGAAGTGTATGGCCTGTCGAAACAATAGTCAGTCTCCCAGTGCGTCTGCAGAGTCTGTCTCGAATAGAACCTTACTCAACGAGATCAGGGAGATGAAGGCGCAGCTTTCTGGACTGGCTATGCTTCATGAAGACGTTCGTACCATGAAAGAGGAACTCGGCGAGGTCAAGAAGAGCCTAGATTTTGATAGCGGCAAAGTGGAAGAGTTTGCAGTTAAACTGAATAACTTTGAGTCTCGAATTGTCTGCCTAGAGGCTCTCAGGAGCAAAGTTCAGTCCATGCATGACGATATTAGTGCTATCAAATCAGAATTGTCTGCAACCGACCAGAGGTCTAGACTTAATAATATAGAAATAAAAGGTGTTCCGTCGAGCAACAACGAGAACTTATTTTCTATTTTGGAAACCATCTCTCAGAAGGTTAATTATACGTTCCCGAAAACTCAAGTGAATTATGTGTCGAGAATACCATTGTTTAACACGAAAGAGAAATCTATTGTTGTGAGTTTCCTCAACAGATATGTCAAGGAGGATTTCATTGCGGCTGCACGTGCTGTTAAGAACCTAACTACTCAGGACCTTGGATTGAAGGGTCCGGCAACGAGGGTCTACGTAAATGATCACCTGAACTCAGCCTCCAAGAAGTTACTCAACAAGGCTAGGACATTGGCGAAGGAGAAAAGTTATAAATTTATTTGGGTTAAACACGGGAAAATACACGTTCGTAAGCTTGATGGTCACCATGTACTTGTAATAAACAATGAAAAAGATTTAAACAAAATATCCTAATCTACTGCGTTAATCAATATTCGTTGCATTGTGTTAAATATTCAAATTATAATGTCATTGTTTTTAAAACTCGCCATATGAAGTGTTTAATAATTACTGAAATGTTTAACATTTGTAAAAGGTTTAGCATCTCTGCCTATCTCGAAAGTTCGACATGTCGCTGCTGTTCTCGCTCACTGGTCATAGATATCCGTTATTGCACTATTTCTAATATAAACTTAAAACAGAATCTACTTTTCTTGCTCGCACTGCTTGCACTTATATGTGAATCAGTTCATTGCTTTCTCGCTCACCCAATTACTTGGTATTTGCATATTTATTGCAGCCTACCTGCTTCTCAGTTTTATAAAAATAACTATTCAAAATATACTTCGCTTATTTTATTTTTTCATAGAATCATATTGCATATAGTTATTAAAGCAGTTGCTATTACTTCTAAAGTTTTTAATGGCTAAGAATAATATTAAGAATCTTCGCATATACTACCAGAATGTGCGAGGGCTTCGTACCAAGACTGATGTTTTTTATAGGGAAGTGTGTGTTAACTTATATGATGTGATTGTGTTAACGGAAACTTGGTTAGTGGATAGTATCTCGGATTCAGAATTGTTTAGTGATCAGTATATTGTGTGGCGCCGTGATCGTAATTATTGTCGGACTGGTCAAACGCGCGGAGGTGGGGTGTTAATAGCTATTCGTAAAGAGATATCTGCAATGCCCCAACCATCTTTTCACTCCTCAGCGGAAGATTTATGGGTAACAGTGAACCTACGTTATCCAGGTACAAGGGAGGTCTTCAGGCTAAACGTGAGTGTCATTTACTTATGTGCGGAAAGTCAGGGATTCTCTTTTTCGGAACAATTGTCTGATTTTCTTAACAAATTGAATAGTACAATGTTAAATAACTCAGATGATAAATTTTTAATCATAGGTGATTTCAACTTAAGTGGCATTTCATGGCAATTAACGGACAATGTTTTGCAACCCGTAAACATATGTAGCAGTGACGAGCATATGTTAACGGATGAGATGCGTATTCTAGGTCTGAGACAGTACAATGGTATATTAAACAACTTCGGGAAGACTTTGGACCTGGTTTTGTGTAATGATTGTGTGTCGGTGAGTGAATGTCCTGTGCCCTTGGTAGCTGTCGATAAATATCACCCTGCTCTTTTAATTAATTTGAACTCCGCGGAGTACACACGTTTGATTCCTGCGTCGTACACCCGGTATACTTATGAGAAGGGTGATTTTATTTCGATAAATAGAGAATTGGCGGCTGTGGATTGGGATACCGTGTTTATGAATATGACGCTCGACGAATGTGTGACCTATTTTTATAATACGTTAGCTTATATTCAAAATAAATATGTTCCTAGCAAGAATATATATTATAATTCTTATCCGATTTGGTACTCCTCTTCACTTAAACGACTAATAAAAGAAAAATCGAAATACCTACGTAGATTTAAGATATATGGCAGACTTTCTGACCAGGCTACGTTTAGGCTTTTACGTGATAGGGTGAAGAAACTTGAGGCTGACTGCTACTCTAATTACCTAGCTGCCACTGAAGAATCTATTGAAAGGAATCCTAAGTATTTTTGGAGTTTTGTAAAGCAACGCTCTAAATCTAATTCAATACCTAGTTACTTTAATTATGGTGGCGTATCGATCTCATCTGCTGATGAAATATGCAATGCGTTCTCTTCACATTTCCATTCCACTTTCATTGATCCAGTTAGTGATACTGCTATGAATACCTGTACTGCAAGTACATCATACACATCTTGTGATATTAATTCAATTGAAATTAATTTGGAGTATATTACTAAAATTCTGAGTGGCCTTGACCCATCGAAGTCAGCCGGCCCTGATTACCTATCACCTAAATTTATAATAAAATGTGCTAAAACTGTAGCTTTGCCGATATCGCTGTTATTTAAGAAATCACTTACTATTTGTGCTGTTCCTCGGATTTGGAAGTCTGCGTTTGTTACACCCGTGCACAAGAAAGGGCCAAAAACTGAAATTGTTAATTATAGACCCATTTCCAAATTATGTGTTTTGGCAAAAGTCTTTGAAAAGGTTGTTTACGATCAAGTGTACGCGGCGCTTAAAAATACTTTTAATCCATCACAACACGGTTTTTTAAGAGGACGTTCAACCGTTTCAAACTTGGTACTACTGAATGATTATGTGACGCAGGGCATGGATGATGGTGCTCAGGTCGATGTTATTTATACTGACTATAGCAAAGCGTTCGATAAAATAGATCACAGCATACTGAAAATAAAATTGTTTAACAGTGGCATAAGGGGGGACTTACTTCGGTGGTTTTCCTCTTATCTTGAAAATCGGACTCAGGCTGTAGTTGTCAGTAATTATATTTCTGGCTGGGTTTCTATCCCCAGCGGCGTGCCCCAGGGTTCCTTAATGGGTCCATTGCTTTTTACGATTTACGTGAATGACATCGACTCCTGCTTCCAAAGTTCTAATCTGCTCTGTTTTGCTGATGATATGAAGATCTATTCTGCAATATCATCGGCAAACGATGTGCAGGCGCTTCAATCAGACTTATCACGACTTGATCACTACTGTCAATTAAATAAATTGGAACTAAACCCCGTTAAATGCTCAGTCGTCACGTTTGGTAGAAAACGGTCACCAATACTAGCACCATACGAACTTAAGGGACAAGTATTGCCAAGATGTGATGGGGTACGTGACCTTGGTGTTTACCATGACGCGAAGCTACTGTTCGATGTGCATATTGAGCAAATTATTGCTAAAGCTTCCAAGGCTTTGGGGTTTGTAATGAGAATTGCCAAATGTTTCGTAAAAGCTAAAACGCTAAAAATTCTCTACTGTACTTTTGTTAGGAGCCACCTGGAGTATGCCTCGCAAGTTTGGAACCCTTGCTATCATAAGTACATTGATCGCATTGAGAACATACAGAAACGTTTTCTGAGGTTCTTGTGTTTTCGTTTAAATATTCCTTATAGCTCAAACAATTACATTGGTCTGTGTAAGAAATTTCATATCCAGCCACTTGTAAATCGACGCCGATTAGCTGATTGTTCTTTTCTTTTGAAAATTATTTCTAATGAGATTGACTGTCCTAGCCTTTTGCAAAAGTTAAATTTTAATGTCCCCCGTAAGTCGATTAGATTTAATCCACCCATTTCTATTCCAATTTCTTCCTCAATCTATAGAAAAAATTCATATATTGTGCGAGCGAGCGGAGATTTCAATAAATTGTGCAAGGAATACTCTCTTGATCCCTTTAATACCAAAAGCAATGTTGTGCGCGGTATGCTAAACCTTGAATTTTTTAGATCGTAACATTTTTAGATCGATTATTATTTATTGTATAGTTGTATAGGTGTAGTGTCGTATTAGTTAGTGCTCCAGAACCTCTGTTATTTACAATGATTCTATTCGTGAAAACCTGTAATTGGCTTGATGTAGCATATCAAT